ACAATTCCATTTACATAAGTTTCCTAGGAAAGCAGAAGTAAAGAAACAGAAACCAGATCCCCAGTTGCCAGTGGGGAGAGGTATTGTTTACAAACGCTCTGTACCAGAGAAGGATTTGGTGTAATTCTCCTGTGTCTTTGCTGACTGCTGGATTTCCTGGGAAATCTGCCTTCTGATCAAATTGAAACATTTCAGATGCAACAACTGAATTCTCCAAGGGCTTCTGACCAAGCACCAGATGGAAATTTCAGAGTCATTTTCAAGATCAGATGCCCAGAAAATCCCACTGTATGAGATGTGGCTGAGAATAAAGGCCTCTGGAGATTGCCACACTCTCATTGCAGTCCCTGTGAATATGTTACTTGAAGTGGAAAAGGGGTCTTGGTAGGTGTGGTTAAGGACCTTGATGTGGGGGAGGATATCCAGGTGGCGCTGGATAACATAGTCAAATGAATCCTTAACGGCAAATGGCAGAGAATCTTTCTAGCTGTGGTCAGAGGAAGACATGAGTAAGGGAGAATGGTCTTTCCTTCCCCCATTCATGGTTTGTTTTTCTTCACAACAATATGATCCCATGACAGGAAGAATAATGTTCCCTTTCCAAAGAAGTATACATGCTGATCCCTAGAATCTATGAAAATGTTACATGGCAAAGGGGGATGAAATTTGCATATAGAATTCAATTTGCTAATTTATAGACTGTAAGATAGGAAAATCGGCTTGGATTCTCTAAATAGGCCCAGTGTAATCCCAAGTCCTTAAATGTGGATGAGAAAGGCAGGAGAGGTCAGGGTGATGTGAGGGGAGGACTAGACTTGCTGTTGGTGTTTTTTTTTGTTTGTTTGTTTTATTTTGTTACTGGGAATTGAACTCAGAACTTTGCACTTGCGAGGCAGGCACTGTGCTGCTGAGCTATATCCCTCGCCTTGTTGCTGGTTTTGAAGATGAAAGCAGGTAGCAATGACCCATGGAATGTAAAGCTAAGGAGCAGATTCCCAGCAGGAATCCAAAATCTCCAAGCCATGGGCTAACACCAGGCCCTGGCTTTTTAGGAACAGGACTGCATAGCAGGAGGCCAGTGTCAGGTAGTGAAACTTCCTGTCTTTACAGCTGCTCCCCATGGCTCACAGTACCATCTGAGCTCCACCTCCTGTCAAATCAGCTGCTGCATTAGGTTCCCACAGGAACATGAACTGTACTGTGAACTGGGCATGCAAAGGATCTAGGTTTCCCTTTCCTTGTAAGAATCTATTGCCTGATGGATGATCTGAAGTGGCACAGAGGTGATGAAACTAGCTCAGGGTCATATAATTACTATATATTGCAAACATATACCAATGAAAAAGAAACTAAACACTCGATCTCATGAAAAAAGTGTCCCTGTGAATCTATGAAACCAGTCTCTGGTACCCAAAAGTTTGAGGACTCCTACTCTACAGTGTCCATGAAGGTAAGTAGTCCTGACCACAACTTGATTTTAGTTCAACAAGACTCTTGTGAGCCTGCCACCCACAGTACCAGAAGATTTTAAATTTGTATTGTTTCAAGCCACTAACTTAGTGGTAATTGGTTACAGTAGTAACAAGAAACTAACATGCAAGGAGAATGTATCAGACATCCTTTGACATCTGAAGAGTGGTCCTAGGACCCCTTTGGATATCAGATTGCACGAATGCTCAAATTTCTTATAAAAAAATAGCATAGTACTTGCATATAACCTGTGCATATTCTCCCTTAGGCTATTTATTTATTTTGGTGCTGGTAATTGAACCCAGGGCCTCATGCATGCTAGGCAAGTGCTTTACCACTGATCTATACCTCTCTCCCCCTCTATAATACTCTAACCTCTACAGTATTTATAACATCCTCAACAATAGAAATAGTATGCAAATAGCTGCTATACTGTATTGTTTAGGGGACCAATGACTAGAAAAAATGTACATATTCATTACAGATGCAGTTTAAAAATATTTTCGATCTGTTGGTTGAATCCACAGATGAACACATGTGGAGGGCCAACTGTACTCTTAAATGTGAATGGAAAATATTAAAATAATAAGGAATTGCTCAGTTTCCTTTTTCTTCACACCTCAAGTCTAGGCAGGTGATTTTAGAGGTGCCTGCCCATTTTTGGAATCAGTGTCATTGCTGCTGGGATCACTTCTCACGCTTGCAGTGAACTCATGGGTACCCTGCACTGAAACCTGCAGTGCTCATTCATTCTTGTTGCTCAGGCCCAGTGTTCCTGGAAATCATTCCTCAGCTCCTGGCCACCTCATGCACAGGAGATTTAGCCACATTCTGAACGTACCTTGTGCAGACCTCCAAACCCCAGACCTGTGTCCCTGATCTGCTCTTTCTCCACCAAATGCCACAACAAACTTGTACACCTAGACCTCAGTCTTGATTCACTCTGATGTAGCCCTTCCTCCCTCCCACTTCTGGTCTGCTTGGAATTTTGAATTATGTGTGTGTGATAGAAGGGACATGTATTAAAATGATGTACTGCCAACATCTCCCTGCTTGTCCCTGAGGAAGAATGAATGCTTTGTACCCTCAGCTCACTAGAGGGCCTTTGTTGAATTAAGCAGGGTGATTTACAGTGAAGGGAATTAAAATGCTGAGAGGAGACCAACTGGTTGTGCCAACACAAAGTGAGGGAGATACTTAAATTTTCAAGAGAAGATTGAAGAGAAAGAGAAGAAAGGCATGTAAAGATATGGGTGAGTTTTATAACTTGTCAGGAAAGAGATGGAAACCCAAAGAGCATTTTAAAGGAAGTTTTCCTGTACTTTGCATATTCCATTTGCTTCTCTAAGAAACGATGTGTAAACTGGATGCACATCTGTAATATCTGTACTATAATTCTAGGCTAAGGCAAGAGGATCAAAATTTTGAGAGGAGCCTGGACAGGTTAGTGAAACCTTGTCTCAAAAGAACAAAAACAAAAAACATAAAAACAAGTGAGGGGTATAGCTCTGTGCAGAGATCCTGAGTTCACATACACACACACACACACACACACACGCACACGCACACATGCACACACCCATGCGTGCATAGAAACTGGGTAAGTGTTAGAGGATTTGTGAGCCTAGGTGTTGTGGTGGCCAAAGAACAAAGGTAAGATGAGCCAAACCAGCTTTAGATGAGGAAGACTGAAGCGAAGCAAGCAAGATGCAGAGCCTTCTTTCCAAAAACAAGTCCTGCAGATTTGTTTGCTCAGAACTCAGCAAATTCTCTGAAAAGGCTACGAGGAGAGGGTGCACATTGGAGTAGACTAAGAGAGGGAGGAAGTGAGAGTGGTTCTCTGCCAGCTCCCTTCTGTCTCCATTTGCCTTGGCCAAGGCTCACTTGCCATGCAGTTAAATCCCCAGTTCACCCCTTGGGGTCAAATGGCCGTTCCATGATCACTCAGGAAATGAACTGAATAGATGCAGAATGGCGATTTCATCTACATCTGGAAAAGGAAGAACCAAAGGGCTGTCAGAGAGAATCAGAAAACTTAAAACATTTCTCTCTGTAACTGAGAAAAAGGTTTTCTTTAAATCTTGCTGTAAAGAGAGAATCACATAGATGGCTCATAAGCATATGAATTTAGGTTTCTTCACAAAGACTTGTGAAAAGACGATTTGAGGACAGGGAAGAACATTCTCTAATGTTAACTGATAATACCAGAGAAATCTTATCTTTAGACTTTAAGATTATAACCATGACAACAGACAGCAGTGGTTGGCACTATTTTGGCTTTAAAAATAACCAAGTTATTTAATTAGCCAAGTAGTACAGACACATCTTTTACTAGTAAAAAATTTCAGAGCTATGGGTTGGGGATATAGCTCAGTGGCACAGGACCTGCCTGGCAAGCTCAAGGTCCTGAGTTCAATTCCCAGTACCATCTCCCTGCCCTGCCCCGAAAAATTACAGGGCTGGAGTTGTAACTCAGTCATAGAGAACTTGCCTAGCATATGTGAGGGCCTAGGTTTTTATACCCAGCACTGAACAAAAACAAAACAAAATCTATTTTGTCCTCATAGGTGAAGGAAATTCCATTAGTATAAACCTGTTTTTTTCTCTATTCCTTAACTCTGTCCCTGAGCTGGTCATTTCATTGGCAGTTTAGGATAAATAGTCTACTTTGAATCAGAACTGCTGAATCTTAGTCTATAGCTTGGTGTTGGGAGGCTCTTCTCATTCACATGTTAAATTATATCCTACAACTCATCTCTTTCAGGAATAAAGCAATTTGGCTTTCTCCTTCCATTTCTTTATCTTATTTAAATTTGTTTTGAACTTGAGGGGTTGTTATTTATTGGTTACTCCTTTCATGCTCTAGCATTTGATGCATTGGCCAGAAAATTGATAAGTAAGAAAGAAAGAACATAATTAATGAAAGGCAAGGGAATAACACAGGAGAGATAGACTTCTGAAGTGGCCAGGGATTGGCCTTGGCTCTGGGGCCTTGTTCTTTCATGTATGTGGGACATTTTGATCTCAGCAGTTGTCTAGGCTTATCTTAGGCCAGGTAGTTTTTTATGGTGCTAACAGCTGTGGCCTGGGGAAAAAAGACCTTGGTGAAAAGCCACTCAGAAGCTGGAAGAGGGCTTTGGCAAGGGCACAGGGGCCATGAGAGGGCCTTGGCAGGGGCTAGCAGGCTGAAGAGGTCTTAATAAGCAGTCACAGCTGGGGTAAGTGTTCAATTATAGGAGGAAAAACAGCCTTTCCATATACTCCTCTTTTAGATACTAACACAGAGGAAAAATATTTGCTATTTTTAATCTGTGGAACAGCTGGGTTCGCTATGGACCACAGAGCATTAATGAGATTTGTTTTCAATGTGTTAGTGCTAAGTCTAAGAAGGTAATGTAAACAAACAGCCCACATTTTAATTCCTCTTTTAGGTTGTTTTGAGCTTTCCTCAAGGGCAAAAAAACGGCAGGGTAAATGGCTAAATCTTAATTTATGTGGTTCGAGAATGACTCCCTCTACTTGTTCTCGAGGTTGCTGGAAACTGGTTGGATGGACAGGATGGCGAGACCTCTCCAAGTGATGGTTTTCTTAGACCTGAGGAATTCCACAGAGGGAGGCTGTGGACAAAGCCACAAGGGCACAGGGATAGCACGCCCACTGGTGTTGGGAGCTCTGTTACCTGGCAGAGCTCACTTTCACTGCAGCACTGCTCTGCACCACCGGAAGTTTAACCGGGAATTGGAAACAAGGTTTTGAACGTCTGGATGGGAAGAACAGCTTCTGGAGTAGGTTGTGCTGACTGAGGATGTTGCCCTTTCACATTTCTAAACTTCTACAGAAACACAACATCCTCTTGAATGCTCACTTTGAAAAAGAAGACAGTACCCAGAAGTGGATCTGCCCAGATATAACAAGCAAGCTGCCATCATGCTGAAATTAACTTACTGGCTAGGATGTTTCCACTGACTGGGATTAAAGTCAAGGGCAGTAGATTCTCGATATTGATCAACTGGCATCTTGGTGAGGATGTAATTTCTGCATCGGACTTGCCATCCAAAGTATTGATTCTAGGTATGCAGTCATGTTTGAGAATTTACCAGGAATTGGCTTGCTTTTTGAATATGACTCTTAAGGAAACAAACAAACAAAGAGTATATCATAGTCTTGGCTGGTGATATTTTAAAATTGGAAGGTCCTGAAGTGACTGCTTTTATTCTAGTGAGATACAATTTATGTTGTAATTGCCAAAAGACCTGACTCTTCCTAGACTTTGCAATTCATCCAGCTGGTACAGAGCAAATAAGAACCAGAGAACATAAATTTTGGGCCTTTAATTTCTCTGCATTTTGGCCCATATAAAAAAAGGTAATTTTATCGAACCCTATTTTCTTTGAATTTTTATGTCCCAAAATTTTTACCAAAAGGATATGAAGTTAATGTCTTGGACATTAATTTCTCCTTAGAAAGTTGATAAAAGATTTATGTTAAAACTTTTCCAACACAATTGATCTTGTTACTGACATTTCTTTGTGTCCATTGTTATCGAAGTCATTGACTTGTGCCATGTAATCTCTTTGCCAATCCTCTGGTATGTTACATAAGCATAATAAAAATATACATAAGCCTATCATAGATAGCATAGTAAAAATGAGTAATAGAAGAATGAAATTTCATCCCTGAATGCAGAGTAACACCGAACTACTAATTCATTATAAGGGACGTTGAACTGTTTAATTTATTACAAGGAATTTAGAACCATTCATGAGCAAAAAAATCTCTATTGTCCTTCTCCTCAAGGATTCTGGAAGGGCACCAAGTTGGAAGGTAACTTGATGAATATAGGAAGGGCTGTCCTGGCAGAGAGCAGAGATGTACTCTAAGGTTGTTAGCCTAGCCCTGGTTGCCATGGGTAGATGGTTAAACAAATGACTTAAGAGAACAAGAATCAAGGGAAGCTGGGTATGATGGTGCAAGTCTGAATCCTAGACACTTGGGAGGCAGGAAGACTGCAAGTTGGAGGACAGTGTGGGCAACTTAAGGAGACTCTGCCTCAAAATTAAATAAGAAGGGCTAGGTTTGTAATTCACTGGCTGTTGTAGTGTAGTCAGGGGTTGTGCAAAGAACAATTAGAATCAGGACATAGAATTTATAATATTCTTTATGATGGTCACCCAAGTTTAACACAAGAAAGGGCAGGAAATCTATCCACAACACTAAAGATCTGGAACATTCTGCCAAGGACCTGGATCCCACAGCAATGTGCTACATGAGTCCAGATGAAAACCTAGAGCCCATGACAATGCCTCCCATGAGTCCAACTGGAGGTCTAGAGCCCATGAGAAGGACTCACACCAGTCAGTTGTACCCATCCATAATGGGAAGGCCCACAGGTCAGCAGTGGAAGCTAGAAAGTCTGTGCCAGTGGGGTGAAGGAGCTATGTTGGTAGGTTGAGGGTTCTACACTGGAGCCAAGAAGTCACACTCAAAACAAAGACTACGGCTGTCCTGAAAAGCACCACAGCCATCCTCAGCGACACGGAGGCCCTGAGCTCCTCTGATGATAAGAACAGTCAAGTACATGGCAGGAAGCCAGCAAGACGAGTTTGTCCTGGAGATTAAATGGTACACATCTTCCTTTCCAGAGCTAGGAAATGATGCTCGATGTAAGGACCAAAGCTCCCCCAAAGTGAACCACAGCCACTCTCAACAAGGTTCCAAGCTCCTCAGATGACAATGGGTGAACTCACAGTGGGGAAGCTAGTCATGATGAGCTCCTACAAGCTCAAATGGCTCAAATAGCTCAAACAGCCTCAATGGCTCAAACAGCAACATGTAGGAGAACCCACAACGCCTTCCTTCTCCTTCTCCACGTTTCTATTTATGCTGGCAACTGTCCTCAGGTGGAACGTCAGCACCATGCTGATTTAATTCAGATGGTGTTAAGCTGACCATCAGTTTTTAACCCATAACACTGGCCAAGCACTTATATAGCACATGTGAGGCTGTGGGTTCAATCCCCAACACCTTCAAACAACAAAATGAAACATATGTAAAAAGAAACAAACACAAACCAAGGGAATGTTAGTGGAGGATAATTCTTAACCAACCACTGATCTCTTCTGTAACAGGTAAACAAGTCTCCCCAAATTTTCTGCATCATAATGGCTAAAGCATGTGATTGATTAAAGACAGGCTAAAGGGACTTGCAGATGTGATTAAGTTAAGGCTCCTGAGAAGGGTCCTTTATCCTGGGTTATTTGGGGGTCTAATGTCATAACAGCGATCCTGTAAAAGTGACACGAGGGAAGTCAGAGGAAAAGGTAATGTGGCAACAGAAGCAGATATTGGGGTGAAAAGATTTTGAGATGGAAGAATCCACAAGTAAAAAAATCCTGGTGCCCCCTAGAAACTAAAAAAAAGCAAGAAAATGTATTTTTCTCTTACCCTTCAGAAGGAACCAGCCCTGCTAATACTTTGACATGGATATAGTGAAATAGATTCTAGACTTCTGACATACAAGAAAGTAATTTTGTGTTATTTTAAGAAATTGTGTTTGCGGTAATTTGTTAGTGGCAAAATAAGTGACAGATGTACCCTTCCATGTGAAGATACTTCCATTTAGGGTATCTCCTGTGTGCTTAAAGTGATTTAATCTGCCTAGTAATAATAAATGGAGGACAGTTGGCTTAGTTTCACCCTCTTTCCCTTTTTGAGCCAGTCAGTCCAAGACAACCATGTTCTAATTCTTGTAGGCAGGATGCCACACACCCATGTCCTGCCCCAGTCACTGCTGGGTAACTTAGTTTATCCTGTGGTTCAGTATTGGTAAGCACAGTTGACTTTTATACTAAGCTAGATTTTCCAGTAGTTTTTTTAAAAATTAGAATAAGGTTATATTTAGGCCTTCACAAACCACTTCCGTGTCTTATTTCTTCCTTCATTTGCAAATCAAATGTGGCAAAAGGGTGAATTTGAAGACAGTGGATTGGACAAAAATGATAGTCTCCTCTTCCGGCTCCTAATTTCTATAAGTAGTGGAAAAATAAATGAAGACAATCACAATTTCACTGGAAACAAGAGGAAGAAATTTCTAGGGACCAGACACTGTAATGAACCCCCGAATGACATGGAATCAGGGGCAGGAGATAAGCCACAGCTACAACTAGAATGGTCAGCCATATGTGCAAAGTGTAGGAGACACAGTAAATACATTCTTTGGCCTTACAGAGGTGGACGAGAACAGAAAATACTGACAGATAAGCAATAGATGAACTAATTTGGGTACCACAGTGTGAAGTCTACATGGATTGGTTTCTACTTGCCATTCTGTATCTGTAACCCCAGATCATAGTGATGGGTAATACTTGTTTTCAGTCAAAAATGGGTAGGCCAGATGTGGTGGCTCACACCTGTAATTCCAGTACTCAGGAGCCTGAGGCAGGTGAATTGCCACAAGTTCAAGGCCATCCTTGGCTAGTTAGTAGGTTCAAAACCAGCCTGAGCCACATAGTGAGACTCTTTAAAAAAAAAATGGAGGGGCTGGGGATTTAGCTCAGCGACATAAGCGCCTGCCTTGCAAGCAGGCAGTCATGAGTTCGATCCCCAGTACCGATAAAAAAGGAAAAAGACAAAAACAAAAACAAAAACAAAAAACTTGCTAAAAATGGAATAGAAGAGTGACAATAAGATAAATAAAGCAGTGCCACTGGCACTCCTGGAGGAGAGGGGGAGTACCTAAAGCAAAATATGGGTCACTAAGGTCTGACCAGTGGTACATTCCAGTCTTTCTGTCATAGCTTATATCTAGGACTTCATGTGGTCAGTGGGGTTTTTTAGAGGTGGTTGGATCCAATGTGTGTGATGCTAGGATTCAGGGTGACAATGTGACATTGGGATTAGGGTGTTCCGCCCTGGGTGAAATACAAAGGCAGGCTTAATTGTTGCTTCTTTGATATTTGCTGGCTTTTGCCTCCCAAGAACTGTTTGTCCTTTGCCATGCCCGTCTGCCGTGCCACTCTACCTTGGAGCCACCCAACCATGAACTGAAACTTCTACAAAGTGTAAGCCAGAATAAATCTTTCCTCCTTTAATTTGGCTGTTGAGTATTTTGTATCAGAAACAGGAAAAGTAACTAAGACACTTCCTCAACACAGGTAAAGAAAATGGGTGCAACATAGATCTAACAGGACATTTACACAATAGAAATGAGCGAAAAATAAAAAATGGTCAAACTTTAAAGAGTGTTAACATAAAAGAGAGACAGGAAACTCCACAGATGGTAAACTTCCATATGAAAAGATAGAATTCAGAGCAAGAAGATTAGTGATTTACAGTAAGAATGATTTGTTTATTAAAATAATGTGAAAGCATAATATGTATTATACATGTAAATAAACCAAGCATTGTAGAAATTCAGCTGAGTTTTGAAATGATCTAATAGAAGACCTAAATTAATTTGCCTTAGAACAAGTTAATGAACTGGCAGACAGAACTGTAAAATTCTTCAGAACAGGATGATGGGGAATGGAATATGATTAAAGCATGTTATGTGCATATATGAATCTGCCAACATGAACTCCATTAATCTATATCTCTAACATGCACTAATAAAAAAAGATGTGAAATTAAAAAAGCCTGAAGAACATAGTTCAAGTGGGAGAGAGATAGAATATTTGAAAGGAAAATCAAGATATAATACATGGAAGATAAATCCAGAATTTTGATTTTTTTTTTTTTTGTCTTTTTCCTTTTTATCGGTACCAGGGATAGAACTCACGACTGCCTGCTTGCAAGCAGGCGCTTATGCTGCTGAGCTAAATCCCCAGCCCCTTGAGCTAAATCCCCAGCCCCTCAGAATTTTGATTTTTATCTAGCAAGATTTCTGAAAGAATATAGAGTAAGGAAGAAAAGTAGAGCATGTACATAAATAATGCAGGGCTGGTTGTATAGTTCAGTGTCTAGCATGTATAAGGACCTGCATTCAATCCCCAGAACACCACTACCACCACCACCAACAGAAGCCAAATTTGATTCCTCAAATTTACAGGACCTACCAAGTCCCTGCAAATAGCATGACATTTGTGAGTAATGAGAAAAGCCTTAAAATCTCTGAAAGGAACTAAGCAAAATGCTTGCAAAGGAAAGAAAATCAAATTGATATCAGACTTCTCAGCAGCAGCAACTTAGACTGTTTCAAAATTACTTTTTTCTTTTTCTGCTTTTTTTTTTTGCATTTTAAATACTTTATTGGTACATTTTAGGTATACATTATGACAACATTCATTATAGGATCAAAATTAAAAAGTAAAAAAGTGGTCGGGCATGGTAGCATATACCTGTACTCCCAGCACTTGGGAAGCAGAGGCAGGAGGATTGGACATGAGTTTAAGGTCAGGCTGGACTACATAGTGAGTTCGAGGCAGCCTGAATTACGGGGTGAGACCCAGTCTCAAAACAAAAACAAAAACAAATCACAGTGGTGTGGATATAGCTCAGTGGTAGAGTGTTTGTTGACATGTGCAAAACTGAGTTTGATCCCCAGTACGGTGCAAACACACACACACACACACACACACACACACACACACACACACACACAAAATCCCTGCCCCAAGAAATCAGTGCAGTGATACATTTACAATTTTGAGAGATAATAATTTTTAATTTATTTTTCTCTTAGGTCCAATCAAATAGAAGAAAAAGATGGAAAGGGATATTTTTCCTATCGGATACCCACTTTTAATAGGGAGGTTTTTAAAATTAAAACTGTGATATTAGTACAAGGATAAATAACTAGACTTTTGAAACATAGAATAGAGGGTTCAGAAATGAATGAATGAAAACTTGATTTGTATAAGGCTGACATCTCAGATCAATAGGAAAATGATGCCTTCTTCCACCAATGATGCTGGGACAATTCATTGTGTATTTAGAATCCTAGCTTGCATAGGGTCAAAATATAAGAAATTTTTATTATTTTATTTTGACACATGGTCTCACTATTTTGCTCAGGCTAGCCTTGAACTTGTAACCCTCCTGTCTCAGCCTACCAAGTAGCTGGGATTAAAGGCACATATCAAACTGAATGTTGTATGTACATTCCTGATCCATCTGCTAATATCTAAATAACTGTTCAAGATATTAGATGACAAATCGATGACATGTCAGACTCTGAAATTTTCTTGACAGTATCTGTTGGGAGCCGCGGCCGACACTGGTCGCCTTACTTGGCGGACGTAGGGCCTGTGGGTGGGAGTGGAGCCTGAGCTAGATTGCCCCTCCCATCGAGTGAGCCAAGTTGGCGCCTGCTTCCTGCCCCCTGATTGCGCTGGCGACTTGAACAACCCGCTCTGTAAGATAGTCTGCCTAGCAACAGCTGATGTTAGCCAGTCAGCCCGCATCGTGCGCTTTGAACTGATTGGCTACTGTTGCCCTATAAAAGTAAATGCCTCTCCCGCCACGAGGAAGAAGCACAGAGAGGGATAGAGAAAGTCCACCGGCGAGAAAGGGCTGGTGACAGAGCGGAGGCCTCGCGGGGCCCACGCGGAGACAAATAAAGACAAGGTTGCACACCGCCAGACTTTGTCGTGTGTCTTTCCTGCCGGCCGGGAGCGACCCCGACATTTGGTGACCCGCACGGGGACTGATCAACCCCGAGACACGGCGGTGGTGTGCAACGCTCCAGCGTGGTGCTGCCGGACAGGTGAGTTGGGGATAAGCCTGGGCTCTGGGTGGCGCGCACCTACAGGGCTTTTAGACTCCCCTCAGGCTCACGCGTAGGTGACGGGTTCTTTAAGTCACACGCGGTGAGTTACAGCCCTTAGAGGTTAAAGATGGGTAATTTACCGAGCGCAGAGGCGCAGCCCTTGGTAAAGGCCCTTAGAAAGCTTTTAAAAGCTAGAGACCTCAGGGTAGGTCAAAAAACACTAAAACTATTCATAACAGAGGTAGATAGGGTGGCTCCCTGGTTTTTACCCACAGGGCATTTAAACCTGCCGTCATGGGAGAAGTTAAGCGGGGACCTCGCCTCGGCGGAATTGGGAGGCGATATTTCGCCGGCTATTCGCCCCCTGTGGGAAATGATACATGCGTGCCTTGACTCCTATGCTGAGTTGCGCCGCGAATTGTGTGCGTGCGCCGCTCGAAAAAAGCAGAGAGAGGAAAAAGGGCCCCCGAGCGCTCTCTGGCGGGGAGGAGATAGAGAGCCATCCGCTCCACCCTGGAGCTCTTCTCCAGAAGCGGCTCCCCGCCGAGAGGCCGCTACAGGAAACCCTCCCTTCTCTCAGCCGGCACAGGAAGTGACGCCCCGTTCCACTCTGTCGCGACCGCCGTCCTATGACGTTGCGCCGCGGGGCGGACGGTATTTTCATGGGCGGCTACTCTGCCAAGCAGGCTGAGAAAAACGCCGGTTGAGGAAACGGGGGGCTGGGGATTTAGCTCAGCGGCATAAGCGCCTGCCTTGTAAGCAGGCAATCGCGAGTTCAATCCCTGGTACCGATAAAAAAAAAAAAAAAAAAAAAAAAAACGAAAAAGACCAAAAATAAAAAAAAAAAATAAAAAATAAAAAATAAAAAGGGGGAGTAAGCCAAGGCCTGCCTCCAAAGGCGCGGTTATCTATGGCATGACAATGGATGGGCCCGGATCCAGTGGTTAGCTGGAACCGAGGCGCGGTTTGTGTTTTTCCGCAGGAACCGGGACGAAAACCACTGTGGGTCCCAGAGAGGTTGACGCGACAAGTCCCTCGACTGAAGATCAGGCCTGTTCCACCAGGGGCCAACTGCAGACCCAACAACAAGATGAGCCCTAAAAGAACTGCAGGACAATCCCTTTTTGGGGGCCTGGAACGGCTTGCTCCCCTATGTGCTACCCTTGTTAGGCCCTCTATGCTCCTTGTTCTTGCTCCTGCTTATAGGACCATGCTTGCTCCGATGGGTCACATCATTTATTAATGGGCGCCTTGCGGCGGCCCGGCGTCAAGTACGCCTGGTTGCCCATGCGGCCCTGGCAGCAGCCCGTGATGGGCACAATGATCCCCAGGCTTACGCATGGCTCGCTCGGCTGGCCTACGACCGGGTCTAGGTGTGGCGGGTCTTCCGCATTCCTTCCCTATTGACACCACACAGCAGGGTGGGTGAGTCAATGACGGGTAAGAGCGTGCCTCCCCAGCACGACTCGACCTAAGCCAGGCCCTACCCCATACTGCACGAAAGCCGCTGGATTACTAGAATCTGCCCAGATCTAGATGCCTCTCCAAGGGGATCACACGGAGGGGCATGAGTGCATGCCTATGTGCATCCAGGTTCCGTCCAGTTCACTCCTGGCCCTGGAAAAAGGACGAGGGTCTCAAGGCCTTGGCGGACCCGGGGCGGCCGACCAGGGTCCAAGCCAAGGGCCTACGGTGGGCCTCAACACAGGGCATAAGCCTCTGCACTCGATCCAGGGCGGGCTGCGATGCATACATTCATTCAAAGTAAATAAATTAGGGGGAGATGTTGGGAGCTGCGGCCGACACCGGTCGCCTTACTTGGCGGACGTAGGGCCTGTGGGTGGGAGCGGAGCCTGAGCTAGATTGCCCCTCCCATCGAGTGAGCCAAGTTGGCGCCTGCTTCCTGCCCCCTGATTGCGCTGGCGACTTGAACAACCCGCTCTGTAAGATAGTCTGCCTAGCAACAGCTGATGTTAGCCAGTCAGCCCGCATCGTGCGCTTTGAACTGATTGGCTACTGTTGCCCTATAAAAGTAAATGCCTCTCCCGCCACGAGGAAGAAGCACAGAGAGGGATAGAGAAAGTCCACCGGCGAGAAAGGGCTGGTGACAGAGCGGAGGCCTCGCGGGGCCCACGCGGAGACAAATAAAGACAAGGTTGCACACCACCAGACTTTGTCATGTGTCTTTCCTGCCGGCCGGGAGCGACCCCGACAAGTATCCTTATCCTCTTTATGGGAAGCCATTACTAATGCCTCTTGATGGAAATCTTTGTTAGTTGCACTCATAATTATCCTGTTGGTTCTATTATTTGGCCCATGCATACTTAATTGTTTCTTTGGCTTTGTATCCTCCAGACTTAAAGCTGTATACCTACCCAGGATGAAAATTCTTGGTCTATTGAGGGCCTTTACATAGACCCTCTGTAGAGTATTCATGACTGCCGATCAACAGCTATGACCCCTTTCAACCTAAAAAAGCAAGATTGGTCATCATCCATTGCTCCCTCATTGCCGTTTGGGCTACTTCTTTTTAGGGGGGATTGCCAAAAGTTGGGCAAAGTTAGATAGAATATCATAGGCAAGTCAGATAGGGCTGGGGCCTTGAAGGAGCCAGATACCTTGTAACTGTGGGGGAGACAGACACCTCCCACTATGGGCCAGACCTCAAAACAAAAGATAAAACAAATGCATCTACACCCTAAGTATAAATATCAGAGATTGATATTCTAAATAGGTGTCAACTCGCCTTGAGGAAGCCAAAAGGTGCGGCTAACCCAACCCCCTACAGGCAAAGGCTCTGTTCTATATTCATGCCCACTTGCTTCACCATTGGACCCCAACTTAATCAATTTTACCTGAGCAATTATACTCATAATCTTATTGGTTGACCATAGTTCTGTCCCACCTCATGCCTACCTTGTGATTTCCCATTTTTCCCCACAGGGGACTTATGCAAGCACACATCCTATATTAGCTTTTCATCACTAGAGCAAAATACCTGACTGCTGCAATTTAACAGAGGAGAGGTTTATTGTGGCTCATGGTTTCAGACCATGGTCAGCTGTCTCCAAGGCAGAAATAGCATGGTGGAAGGGTGTGGCAAAGTGGTGGACACTTGTAATCCACCCTGGATTACCATTCAAGCTGGCCCGGGCTACATAGTGAGTTTAAGGTCAGCCTGGACTATACTAAGACCCTCCCTCAAAAGACAAAAACAAAACAAAACAAAACTACAATTAATCTAACTCACTCTAACTCAACATAAGGTCTAGGATTTTTCTCTATGGCATTTACTCTAAAAAAGTCACCACAGGAAGAGTTAACAAGACTTGGACAAAGATATTCAAAACAGCAGTGTAAAAGAGGAGAAATTAAAAACATACATTAGCCATACACATCAAAGTGAAAATAGGTAGCTAGACTGGATTTAATTAATAAAAAGACTACTGTGAAATAACTTATGATTATCCTATGATTAAACTTGAGCTGTAAATTCAGAACAGGGATGACTTTCAAACATATAGTGTTGAATAAAAACATCGCTAAAATTATTTTCAGTAAGATACGATTTATACAAAGTTTGAGGCAGGGGGCTGGGGATTTAGCTCAGCGGCATAAGCGCCTGCCTTGCAAGCAGGCAGTTGTGAGTTCGATCCCTGGTACTGATAAAAATGAAAAAGACCAAAAAAAAAAAAAAAAAAAAAAAAAAAAAACAAAGTTTGAGGCAGGCAAAAGGAGGATAGCAATACGCAGTATAGCATCTATGAGGGCATCTCCTTCTGAAGGCGGTAGCCATTGTTAATTTCCTATTGTCTGGTTTTGAAGTCCTGTATCATTTTCATTGTTTTGTTGGGTTGGGTTTTAATACTTTGTTTTGTTTTTATTTATCTGATGACATGGGCAGCTATTTCAAAGATAACAAGACCTATTGTTATCTTTGGTAGCCATTCTGGATTTACTCTTATCTTATTTTGAAGTCCTTTATTGAATACATTGTTTTGTTTTTATTGGCTCTATTCCATTCTGTTTTGTTTGATCTTTATTATATCTGAAGCTATCTGCAGCTATTTTGAACACAACAAGAGGCATTATGGTAACCAATGTTGATTCCCTATTGTTTTGAAGTCCTGTATCACTTGTACTGGTTTGTCTTGATTGGCTTTATTCTGTTTTATTTTGCTTAGTTTTATTCTCTTTAAAATAAAAATAAAGAAAATACCATGTGTATATGTGTCAATTCTTCAAGATGGAACATTGCAAACATATAGTATTAAAAAACATATTTAAAGAAAAGGAAAGAGGGATATAGCCCAGTGGCACAGTGCTTGCCTGGCAAGTGCAGTGTCCTGAGTTTGAATTCTGATGCAAAAAAAAAAAAAAAAAAAAAAAATTAAAGGATGGAAACACTTTGGCGGATAGATATTTCCCATTGCTGTAGAAAGAGTGTTAGGCTAAGAAATGATTCTAAAATGGTCCATACATAACTGTACTTTCTGGGGAGGCAGAAGATAGAGGAGATTCCTCTAGACCCACAAGAACAAAGGACCATGGCCCTGGAGAGAAGCACAGAATGGTTGATTTCATGAGCTGACCGGCCTCCACTCTGGTGTTGACATACTTAGTCAAACACCGGTCTGGGTGTTAAGGGGACGTATTTTTTAGGTATGATTGACATTTTCATCAGCGTACTCTAATAAAGTAAATTATTCCCCACAATGTAGGCGAGGCAGGCTTCTGAAGTGGAAGCAGTTCTGTTCAAGACTGCAATGTCTGCTTCTACCTGAGTTGCTAGCCTGCAGAATTTGGACCAAGAACTGTAACCTCAACTCTCCCCTAAACGTCCACCATGTCACACCGTGGTGAGCGCTGAGTGTTTAGAATAAATCTTTTCTTTATTAATTGGCTACTGGCTCTGTTTCTCTGGAGAACCCAGACAAAAACAAGGTGGAAGAAGGACCCCGGAACCACAATGAGCCCCTGGCTGTGGAAGGTAGAAAAAGCCGCTCTCAGTTGGCAGGGCTGGGGAGGCTGCTCTGAGGGACAAAAAAGCCCAGAGGTCATGTCGATTTTCATTTATATTGTTTTTATCTTTGTAATGCCAGCCACCAGTCTCCCTTCTTTTACTTTTTTTCATTATCTACTTCACTGCAGAATTTGGGACCAGTTCTGCTTTCCATGATTCTTCATAGAGACTGACAGCTTTTAAAAAGTGCCAGGCCATCTTAATCTCTTTTTATATGGCTCGTCTTTTTGAGAATATTACATTTTCCTCTGATTAGTTTGGTAAGTGAGAGAACTGTGCTATCTCCCAAACAGTGTCTTTTTAAAAATTATTGTTTTTTAAAATCCCCCATACAAGTGCACATACATATCCTTTTAATTATGTTGAAATGTGCATTTTAGATATTATATTCACAATGTTGCATAGCCATTCCCAGAACTATTTTGTCTTCCCAGACATTATGTTCTATATGCATGATTGAGTTCCATATCCTTTGGTAACTATGTTCTAGTTTTTTTCCTCTATGAATTTGTCTAGTCTAGGTACCTCATGTAAATGGAATCATATGCTACTTGTTATTTTTATAGCTGTTTACTGAATAGAAACTGCAGAACAAGAGAGTTATAAAAAATATTTTATAGCCCCCCCCCCATGCCATCATCTTCAAGGACATTTGAAGACACTGGAACTTGGGCTCATGTTTTCAGGCAACATGGTCAAAATCCTGTAAGCTTCTCTAGAAGAAGCCTGAAGCTGAGTTATGAGGCAATTGTAGCTCCCTTCCTCTCTCTCTCCCTCTCCACCCCTTTCTTTTTGGTACCAGGAATTGAACTCAGGATTTTGTCCTTTGCAGGCAGACACTTGTGCCACTGAGCTTGTGCCCAGCCTCCACCCCCTTCATGTTTGCTTTAGGTCACTGTGACAAAACCACTTAATGGACAAAAGATTTATTTTAGCTCATGGCTTCAATCTATGGTTAGCTGACTCCACTGGTTTCAGGCCTGTAGTGAGGCAGAAAAGTCATGGCAGAGGGGTGTGGGGGAGGAAAATTGCTCCCTTCATGGTGGACAGGAAGCACGGTGGAGAGCAGCTGGAAGGGACTGTGGACACGATATCAGATATACCCTTTAAGGACATGTTCACAATGACCTGCTTTTTTCCGATGAGGTTCATTTTGCAAAGTTTCCCAGCCGCCGTCCCAAAGCCCATCAAATTATGAACTCATTAAGGAATTAGTTCACTGATAAAGTCAGAGCTCTAATGATCCAGTCACCTCTCCAAAGCCCCACCTTGGAACACTGATGCACTGGGCACTAAATCTTCAGGACATGAAACTTCAGGTGACATTTCAGATCTAAACTGTAACACTTTTTTTTTTGTAGTGCAGGGGATCAAACACAGGGCCTTGGGAAAGACTGGAGTGCCTCTGAAGAAAAAAAAGCAGAGAGAGAGAAGACTTGCTCCTTTCACTTTTTAATCCATCCAGGCTACAAGCCTATGGGGTGTTGGTCTTCCCCCCTCCGTTTTTGGCCTACACGCCCTCGTCCACAGATACACCCAGAGCTTTACTAACCTGCTAGGCGGTTCTAATGGGAGTCACATTGATGCATCACAGTTAGCATCACCATGTGACTCCTGGGGCTGGTTCTAGGTGTGACTTGTCCAGCAGTAGCAGCAGCCCTACAGAGGACAGCAGACTTGGAGAGGGTCCCTGGCTAGTGTTTTTGGAGAATGTGATGCTGATAGCTGCAGTGTTTGCAATGCCTACAATGGTCTGAGCGGCCAGATTACCCAGGTCTCTTCAGCTTGAAGATGTAGATCCCAGCGTTTCCCTTTTGTCAGTGTACTGTTCCCTCTGAAGAAGTCAAGGTTGGTGGCACCTAACTGGGTTCATACTGCAAATAATCTGAGGTCTCTCCTTCATCTCCTTCCTTCTTTTTATCAAGGACTCTGGACATTGTGAGAGTTTCCCCTTAACTTACAACAACAATCCAGAACAATCCCATAGAGACCTCCCACTGGCCAGGGTAGGAAAGGAAATAACTTATTTTACTTAACACTTCCTTCCTTCCTTCCCTCTCCTCTCCTCTCCTCTCCCCTTCCTTTTTCTGTCCCTTCTTCCTTTTCTCTCTCATCTCTCTCTTTTTCTTTTTTCTTCCTTTTTTATTCTGGGGATTTACCCAGAGCCTTTTCACCAAGCTACATCCCCATCCCCTTTTTATTTTTTTTTTTTAAAGTTTGATCTTACTAAGTTGCTCAGGCTGGGCTCAAACTCTTAGGCACAAGTAATCCTCCAGTCTCAGCCTCCTGACTAGCTGGAAGTACAGATGCCAGCCACTGTGACCTGCTTCTAATCAACCTTCTACTGAAAAATAAAGCAGAAAGCTGTATGAAACAATTATTATAAACAGAACCTCTTTGTACCTACCACCCAGGTCAAGAAAGAGAATCTTATCAGTCCCTCTCTGTGTCACATCCGAGCTTAATCCTCTCCCATCTACTAAAAGTAAGTACTCTCTTCACTTTTTAAAAAGCCACTTTACTGAAATGTAATTCATGTACCGTGCAATTGATCTATTTAAAGGGTTCGGTTCCATGGTTTTAGTATATCCACGGAGCTGTGCAACCAGCTCCTGACTTTCATGGCGCCTTCCTGTACCCAGGGCACAGTTCATATAGGAACAGCAAGATAAATGCTTACCAGGTTTTTGGATATTAAACCAATTATTTTTATTTTTTTGGTACCAGGAATCGAACTCATGACCTTGTTCTTACCAAGCAGGTGCTTATGACACTGAGCTAAATCCCTAGCAATATTAAATGATTAGGAATCCATAGATTTAAGAATACTTGATGAGTTTCTATCCATCACTATTATTATCTTCACTGTGGCTAAGATTGTCTCCTGTATCCTTTGGTACAACTTTAGTTGTCACTATTAGCTTCCTTGCTATCTAGTATGACAAAAAGTTATAAAACATATTGCTGGTACTGCTTATGTAACAGTGCAGTATTGCTGTAGGAACAAACAGATCAGGTAATGGAAATAAGAAATAGAAAGATGATTATATAGTAAATATCTGTGGTCTTGCTGCCAGCATTTATTGTTTTCTAAGAGAAACTGGTTCCTAAGTTTATTTTTGATGTTAGTACTATTATTTTTGTACTGAGAATTCAAACCAGGGCCTTTGCACTGAGCTGCATCCCATCCCTTTATAAAATTTTTATTTTGAATCAGGGTCTTGCTAAGTCACTAAGTTGCCCAGGCTGGGCTCAAACTTATGATCCTCCTGCTTCAGCTTTCTGGGTAGCTGGGGTCACAGGCATGTGGTACTGAGCCTACCTGACTATTATTCTTTATTCAGCATTATTAAAGTGTGTTGAAAGGGACTGAACTCATCTTCAGGTCCAGTTGATACACTGATTGGCTTGAGATTATTTAGTCACCTTGTCCTGGGGTTTAGAGATGGGCACAACCAGAATCTATAAAAGACAAGAAGATGTTCAATGGGCTTCTATGGAAAAAGGCCAATTGACTGTCCATTTAAAAGGGGGTGTTAAATTTCTACTTCTCACCCTTCACAAACATTAATAAAAATAGGATTAAAAGCCTAGAAGAGTCTGTTATTAGAAGACACATAGGCAAAAGCCCTATTAACAGACTGACAATTTTTTTTAATTTTTGGTACTGGGGATTGAACTCACAACCTTGTGC